GGCCTGTGACTGGGTCTCCCTCTGCAGGCGGTCCCCAGGCTGAAGGAGAGCAGCCGGTGGGAGGGCCCCGCGAGGACCCCCGCAGCACCCTCCCTGCCTCCCACCCCGGTGTGAAGGGTCAGCTCATTTCCAAATCTGCAGCTGCCCAGCCTATTGCATTGCCTCTAGTCCCCCCACCCCATGTACTGAGCACTTTCAACATCTGTATACCTGGCTCTTCCCACTACTTCCTTGATCAAGGAGGAGGATGTGCATAGCCAGGTGGTGCCGCAGCTGCCCAAACTGTGAGCCAGATGGGGCTTTTAGCCTGTCGGGTTCTCAGCCCAGAAAACCCTGAGCCATGCTCCTCTTCATTGAAATGGGTCTGACACCTCCCACATCCAGTTGCTGTGAGGATGGGACTTAAAGCCCAGGCAGTGCCTGGACACGGTGACACCTCAGCGAACCTGGTTGTCACTGTTCTTCCCATTATACCAGCCAGGGCGATGCGAAAGTTGCACAGCCCATCAATGGCGGAGCCAGTAGCTGTATCCTAACCACAGTGCTCTCCCCAGCTCCCCCTCCTCCCCTCAGAGTCTGGCCCTTTCCAAAAAAACAAACCAAAAAAAAAAAAACACTCTGTAATTTGAGAAGCGCACTTGTCTGCCTGAAGATTCTGGGCCTTCCAGAGGCTGCCGGGAGGGATGGCTCGGAGCTGGATTCTCTGGGGTGAGGGCCCCCAACCCGGAGGCAACACCCTTCAAACATAATACGGGTTTTTATGACCCTTTCTAACTTGATATACATTTTATGTATCATGTTACATATAATCCCTATTATATGTAACATACATGTATACTCATATATGTATGAATATATCTCTGAAACCAGGAGCCGGCGAGTGGCTGGTTTAATTAGCAGCGTTGCCTTTCTTTATCTTTCACATGGAACAATTGATGGAATTTTAGATCCAGTGAAACTCCATGCCTCTCCCCTCCTAGATGGGGCCTTGAATCCCTCGGATTTGTAACATGGAGCTAGTAGAGCAGCCTCCATTCGCAGAGAGGACACAGGCTCCGTGAGGGACAGCAACGCCGCACCTGGAGTTCTAGGGCACCAGGCAGGTGGGTGGCTCGGTGATACGTATTTCTCCGGAGCTGAGGTGTGGAGGCCAGAGTGGGAGAAATCGCTAGCTTCGAGGAGACAGTCTGCACTGGTCACTGGACTGGGGCTCCTGTGAGACTCCGGATAAAGGGAATAGATGCCTCCTGGGAAGGGTTGGAGGGGGAGGAGGCTGACAGTGTCAGCTGAGGCCAGTTCCTACTTAGAAAAATGTCTGCCTGTGGGGGGAGGGGGGATGGGTGGGGACCAGTGGGTTTCTAGAGTGAGGGTCTGAGCCCAGGGAAGGTGGATTGTCAATAGCCACAGGCATTCCTGTGATGGGTGCTGGAAGCCCTCCTGCTGCTGCCCCTGTCTGGAGCCAGGCCACAGTCTTCACCTCCCCAGGCAGCCCCTAGGCGAACCCAGGGGGCAGGATGGCCAGGGACTAGGCTCCAGGACCTGGCAGGCTTTGAACATGAGAACTGGATATTTCACACTGGGAAGAGTGAGGCCCAGAGCGGGGAGGGGACTTGCCCAAGGCCCCTGACAAGGAGTGATTCGGTCTTATTTTAACAGTATAACAACGACAGACGGTTCGCATGGATGGAGCACCCCCTATGTCCCAGGTCTGTGCTAAGCACCTGACACACGAGGAGGCCAGTATTATTATCCCCATTTTCAGAGAACACGGATGAGGCTCAGGGGGGTTTCAGCAATTTTCTAGACCAGAGTAGGTGGTGGTAGAAGTCAAACTCAGGCAGTGAAACTGCAGACCCCAGCTCCCTCCACAACCATGGGACCTCTTAGAAGGGTTTCCAAATATGTTCATTGTCTGGCACATATGGGGGTTCCTTCACCCTCTCCAAGCACCAGGACTCCCCAGGAACTAGGAAGCACCCGGACAGCATGCAGAGCGCACCCCGAGACCCCGAGACCCCGCGTCTCTGGGGGCAGGAGGAGGGCTTCCTGACACAGGGTCCTTCTCACCCACGCAGCCTCTCCCAGGGGAGAAGGATACTGGGGGAAGGAGGGGCCCCCAGAACCAGGGCTCTGCAGGCCCCTGGCTGGGTCCCTGTTTACCCAGCTCTCGACCAAGGTAGGACCAGACTTCCTGTCTTCCTCGCCCTGCTGCGGACAACTTAGGGCCTTCTTAGGTGAGAGCCATTTGGGAGAAAGCAGGGTGTTTGCCCATCAGTCTAGAGGAGAAGGGAGAGAAGAGAAGGCTGTCCCTACAAGATGGAAAAGGGAGAGAGTATCCACGTGTCCCAGGTAGGGGAGTGGGAACTGTCCAACTACCTTCCCAAGGGAAAGAGAGAGGAAGAGAGGAGGGAGAAAGGGAAGGAGACGGGAGAGAGGGAAGGAGGCGGGAGAGGGGAGAGGAAGTCATGAGGAGAGAGAGAACGCTAGGTGTGTTGGTCCAGGATGGGAAAGAAGTAGGTCGAAATTGGTCTGTTCTGTGCGCCCTACTCACCCTCGCCCTCCCCCGGAACAGGACAGGAAAGGGAAGAATGTTCTGCTGATCGAGGGTGCAGGGACCCTCGGATTCTGAGATGCGAACGCAGGATGCGCGAGTGCCAAAGTGTTATGTCCATGGGGGCGGGGAGGGCAGCCTTCGGTAAGGCTCAAAGCCTTTGGTTTGTTCGAGACGTGGCCGCACAGACGGTGAGGAGTCGGACGAGACGTCTGTCCAGAAAGGGCAGCTCTTAGGAGAAGACCCCCGGCGCCTGGACACCGGGACCGCAGCTGGCGCACATGTGTGCGCAGGCCTGCGGGGCAGCGCCGCGGCTGGCAGAGTGCAGGCGCCAACTAGCGGTGGCTCCCGGAACTGCTCCAGCTCCGCCGGCTCCGGCGGGCTCCGGCGACCTCCGGCTGGGGACCCGAGCGCCAACAACTGGGGTCCCCCGGTTCCCGCGCGCACCTTCAGCGAGCGCCGTCCCGGGGGCTGGTGCTGATGCGGGTCCTGTGCCAGGTGCCGAGGCCTACAGGAGCCCCATTCTCAGGAAACCCATTTGTAAACCACCCGTCGGATGAGAGGGAGAAATCAGGCGGAGGGGCGACTGAGGGCACGGGCGCACACCGAAACCATTAGACAAATTGAACTTACAGACTTCGCGTGAAGGGGTCCTGGCCCCATGGCCGCTCCAGGGCAGCCCGCGCCGGCCGCCCACCTGGCCCGGGCCCTACCTGGCTACGGCGCAGTGGGCCTTTCGTTGGGCGGCACCGAGAGGAGAGGTCGGACGCACCCAGGCCCAGGTCCCCCGCTTTCTTCTGGTCCCGCTGCTAGTGCCAGCGCTCCCGAGAGCGCGCGGGCCTCGGCGAAGGCTCTTTGGAAAGTCCAGACAAGGGCCCTCTAGTCCCCGCTTTCCAAACGGCCGGAGGACCTGACCGGAGGCTCCGAGCGGGGCGGGGACCAGCGCTCCGGGGGGTCGAGGCCGGCCCGGATTCCGTTTGCTCAGCCGTGCACACTGGGCTTGATTTCGTTTGTCTACGACGCAATGGCCACCGCTGGGCCAGGGTCAGACCCAGGGCGGGATCTTGCGGTCACCATCGGAGTCGACGCTGCTTTGCGCCTGGGGCTTGGAAATTCGTCGTTTTGCGCCTGTCGAGGGCTGGGAGCAACGAATACTCGTCCCAGCCTCCAAAACGGAGGGGTCAGCCGGCACCAGTGCGTTCCCCGCACTCCAGGGAGCGCCTCTGGGCCATCACCCAGAGTGAATGGGTCTTGATCTTTTCCTGCTCCCCTCTCCTCTGTAGCCGGTCCCCAGGCCCGCTGGCCTGGCTCGGGGGGCAGGAGAGGAAGGGATTGTTTGACGTGAAGCCCCGGGAATGGTTGGGCCGCGCCGGGGAGTGGGAGCGACTCGCCAGGGCCGGCTCGCAGACCGCGCCTCGCCAGAGCCGCCTGCGCTCCTGCGGCGCGGCGGCCGGAGCGCACCGCCCGGGGAGACGTGGGCTTGGACCCGCGGGAGCCAGTTTGCATCCACGTGGAGGAAGGAAACTCCCTCCGTTGGAAGCCTGGGCCCTTAACTTTGCAGCCATTCCCGTTCTCCGCACTCGTTTTCTTCTGACTACAAACTAGCGTCCTTTCCCACGATGCAGGACCGTGGTTACAAACATGGGGGCTGATGTTAGGGGGGGGGGGGGTGAGGTGGTAGGGGAGGGAGATCAGGGAAAAGCACTCGCATTTTCCAGGCTCATCCTGTTTCTCAACAAGCCGCTGACCTCCACAACGAAGGACTCAGCGAGGCCTGCGCGGTCTTCGCAGTTTTGTGGCAGGAGAGCGTTGAGGAACAGGGTTAGTCGCCCCCGAGCCGGATGCGGGCCCGTGGGGGCACCCTTCCCTCTGTCCCCGGGTTGACACCGGGGCCTCCACGGCCCGGATCACAGCCGCACGGGGCTGGGAGCTGCAGAGGCCGCTGGTGCGCACTTACTCTCTTGTGCTGTGGAAGCTCTTGGGTCAAAATAATTTGCAGGCGGGGCGGGGCGGTGAGAAGCCTTTTGGGGGGGCAGCTCCCCGAGCGATGTCACCCGCCTTGGGGCCCCCGCGGCTCCCCACTGGGGTGCAGGCTGCACAGGCCAAAAGCAGCTGGAGTGGGGGAGGCCCGGCCGCAGGCAAGCAGCGGGGCAGGGGGAGAGAAAGGGAGGCGCGCCCTGGAGACAGTGGCAAATGAGCCTTCGGTAGGAATCGGGTGTTTTAAACTCATTTCTAGCCGCGGCCCAGTTCCCCGGAACCCTCGAGGAGCCGCGGGCTATCGCGTGGGGGCAGCCGGCCCCGCGCGTCCTCCTCGGGGCGGGGCCTTCCGCCCCTCCGGGTGGGGCGGCCTTCGGCGGTCCGTCCTCCCCCCGCCAGCGCCGAGGTGCCCGCGATGGGGGCTGCGATTGGCTGCGCGACGCGTCGCTCCGGCCGGCCCCGCCCCACGGGCCCCGGGTACTAACCCCGCGCGCGGGCGGCCGCGGCACCGCCACTTGATTCTCGAGGATTTGTTGTGGGGCTGCGGCCGCGAGCGGGCTGCGGGGGCGGAAGGCGGCGGCGGCGGCACCGGGCGCGCGGGCCCCACCGCGGCCGAAGCTGCCGGGACCGGCGCGCGGGGCGGCCGCACCGGGGCCGCGCGCCCAGGATGCGGGACTAGCGGGCTGGCTGCACGGCCGTCGGGGCTGCGAGGCTTCGCTGCGGGCGGGCCCGGCGGGGCGTCCCCGGGCGCCGCCCCCTGGGCCCCGAGGCCCGGGTCGGGCGCTTCTGCTTTCCCGCTTCTAGCGGCAGCGGCGGCGGAGGAGGCGCCCGCGCCGGCTGCCCCGGGGGAGCCGCGCCGCCGCCGCCGCCCGGCCGGCGCCCTGACGGCCGCTGTTATGCGTATTCCTGTAGACCCGAGCACCAGCCGCCGCTTCACACCTCCCTCCACGGCCTTCCCCTGCGGCGGCGGCGGCGGCGGCAAGATGGGCGAGAACAGCGGCGCGCTGAGCGTGCAGGCGGCCGTGGGGCCCGGCGGGCGCGCCCGGCCCGAGGTGCGCTCGATGGTGGACGTGCTGGCGGACCACGCGGGCGAGCTCGTGCGCACCGACAGCCCCAACTTCCTCTGCTCGGTGCTGCCATCGCACTGGCGCTGCAACAAGACGCTGCCGGTCGCCTTTAAGGTGAGCTCGGGGCCCGGGGAGGGAGGACATGGTCCCTGGGGCGCCGGGCGTCCGCGCTGCCGGAGCCAGGGCCGGGGAACGGAGGGAAGGGGACGTGCCCGCCACCCCGAAGCCAGAGCCAGGCACCTGGGCCACCAGCCCCGGTCGGTCTCAGGGCGCGCTCCACCCGGAGACGCAGGCGTTTCCTTTGGGGTGCACCCCGCACTGGTGACTTGTAGGGAGGCATGCCCCCTCCATCTTCGGGGAGCCCTGGGGAGAAACGTTGATATGGAAGCGGGCCGGAGGGGCTCCCCTCCAACCCGGATCCTTCGGACACAGCCCTGCGGGGAGGGGAGAAGCGGATCCCGGGGCCCCGGGCGAGGACACGGAGGTGGGGTGCGGAGGGTGGATAGGCCTGCCCTGCCCTGCCGGCACCCCTCCTCCTGCACAGCTTCAGCAACACTTCCTGCTCACACCCTCAACCTCCCGCTTCAGAAACCTTACACCGCGCGGCTCTGGGCCGGGACCAGAGACACTGTCCCTAACCGGTTGCTGCGGGGATCCCAAATGTTAGGCAGAGATTGGGGGTGCTCCCGCCCCTGGCAGCCCCCAGTCATGCAGAGGAGCTTCTCTTTGCCAGGGAGTAGGCGACTGTTTCATTTTCATTTTTTTTAAGGGGGCAGCGAGATGAAACGAAAACGACTTGGTTTTCCCCTAAACCTCTCGCAGCTGCCGTGAGAACGGGCAGGGCAGGGAGGGCCGGCGGCTGGGGGTGGCGGTGCCCGAGGTGGCTGCTGGCGGCGGCTTCTGGCAGCGGAGGCCGGCCTTGCTCCCATTAAGACGACTCCAAATTGGAAGGGGGAAAAAAAAAGGAATGAGTGGCCCTTTGAGGTCTCCCGGGTGACATCTTAAAACACCAGTGGGGAGAATCTCCTGGGGACCGGCAGGCGGAGGCCCCTGTGACTTTAATCCTCAGATCGGAGGTTTTACTGTCACTTGGAGCTTAAAAGGAATCTTTGAAATTAAAAGAAGACAGGATGTTGACAGGAAATCTGGCCTTTTTAATCAGACCCCAAACATTTTCTCCTTGAAATTTTTACCATCTGGATCCCTCGTCCCTGCACGCGGTGGCCACGTTCAAATATATGGCTGTGACTGTGTCTGCAGCCTGATTCCTTTTCAAAAGGCATCTGCCTCTCCGAGCTCCGAGGGGTGAGGCTTGGGGGAGACATTTTAGGGGGCGCCTCCACCCCCACCCCGCAATTCCCAGCAGGTGCATCCTCCTGCTATCAAAAGCCCCTCTGGCGCTTTAAAGGGGTTTTCTGGACAGACCCTCTCAAAAGGACAGCTTGTTTTGCATTTTCCCTGCATAACGAATTCAGGCTACGCAGAGGCCGACACACTGGGCTGAGGCCACATTTCAGGCCAAGCATCATACCCCCAAACGGCTCTTGCATTATTTGAGTCTCCTAATTATTGTTGTTGATACTGTTTTTTTAGCGTTAGAGACTGGGTTGCTAGAGGCAGTGTTGATTCCTCTTTTGCTCACAAGCAAAAGGAAGAAGGAAGCTGCGTCCTACGTCGCAGTGACTGAGCTGGTGCCCAGCTCTCCCCTAGGTTTAGTGGATGGAAGGGATGCTTTCCCGGGCATGGCTTCACCAGTTTATCTAGGATTTTGGTTCGGAAGGTGGAGATCTTTTTGTTTTGGGGGGAGGGGGAGGGAGAGGTCTCTATTGTTCGTAAGCCTCCTCTCCACTCCGCATTTGAGAAATCCGCAGTGCGCCTGGGACCTAGGGGAGCTGCCTGCCCCAGCCCCTCCCCCCCTTTCCCTGGCCTCCCGCTACCTTTCTAAGCTGTCCCCCTGCCCCATGCCCTCAGGTGGTGGCACTGGGGGATGTGCCAGATGGCACGGTGGTGACGGTGATGGCGGGCAACGATGAGAACTACTCTGCCGAACTGCGCAATGCCTCTGCCGTCATGAAGAACCAGGTGGCCAGGTTCAACGACCTTCGCTTCGTGGGCCGCAGTGGGCGAGGTGAGTGGGAGGGAGACTGCGCCAGCCCAGCACTGGCCATAGCAAAGATTGGGGGGAAGGAAGCTGAGAATGAGGGGTTCCTGTGGGAGCCCCAGAAACAGGTCCATGCCCAGTTCGGTCTAAAACAGCAGTTTGCAACCCCTTAGGGTGTTACAGACCCCCCTGAAGATGTGAGGGGGAAAAGCTGCCATTTCCCCCCCAGTCTCTGGGGCTTCCTAACTCCTGGAGCCCGCCATGCCTCCCCTTTCCTGATTAAGTGCACTGATCTCACAAAAGCTGCTGGGGGAAGAGGAACAGGCTCAAAAAAGGGCCTTCTAAGTCTTTTCGGCAGGCGGTTTAGAGGACAGATCCTTGGTCTTCGGGGACCCGGCACCCCAGCCACTCTCCCCACTGGGGCAGAATCTCCCCCACACTTTGGGGCTGCCTCTCCGCAGCTGTGGTCTCCCAAAGCCACAATTTCCCCAGCCCTTTGAGCCTTAACGTGGTTTAGAAAAGAAACAAATGCAGTACAGGATGCTGAATACTGGAAAGCGCAGCTCAAAGGCTGCCATCTCCCGCCCCAGAGTCAAGGCCGATGTGCCAGCCTACCTGCCTGACCTACCCCGGGGCAGTATGAAGGAAGGCAGGATCAGGCACAGCTGCGGCTGCCACCAGGGGCTGTTGAGTAGGAGGACCTGAAACCCATCACCACTTCTGGATGCAGAAGTCCTAGAAACCCTGCCGGGGAGGGGGTGGGGCGGGGGGGGGGGGGGGGAGGAATGGAGACTTGAGGGCTCGCTGGCCCTTTAAGACCAGCCTGCTGAAAATTGGGGAGTGCCCTTCCCTGAGCACCTGGCCTGCCCCTCCAGCTTCGTTAAGAAAGTAAGCTAGGTTCCCCCTGGCCCCAGCCTCCACAGAGGCCGAGGCAGAATTGTACTTTTCATCACCAATAAGCAAGACCTTTGCAAGGTTTTAGCTCCCTCTGAGCCGCCAGCCCTGCTCGGAAGTGGGCATCTGGGCACCATTTTTTCCTCTTCAGCCGTTCAGTGTATACATACAAATGTCAAACATATTTTGACTTTTCAGCATTAATTAAAACCAGGGCATTATTTGCATGTAATAACTGTTTACTTGTTACTTTTCATGAAACCGAAATAGTTTACATTCTTTCAAACATTTCCTGTTCCTGTTGGCTCCCTTCCCCATGCACAGATTTCTTTCAAACGTTGCCCTTAACTGGTTGCAGGTTGATGGATGGAAAATGTTTGCTTTTATGAATTAAGCTTTCATTGCTGCTCCTAATTAGTCTCCAAGCCCCTTTTGTCATCCCCAATATCTCAAGCCCTTTGCAACTTAATCCCAGCCCCCGCCCAGAGTGGAGAGTCGCTAGCTGCCACTGCCTGGCGGAGGCTTGCTCACATGCAGCTCGGCTGTGGGGCGGTGGCCCCGTCTGTCAGCCCAGGTGGCGGTGATAGAGAGGGAGCCCGCTAGAGCTGCATCCCCGAGGGGGCAGGCAGAAGGGAAGCTTAGTCCCTGGGGCCCAGCACGGCACCAGGAACATGGCATCGCACCCCCTCTTCTAGGAGGTGCAATATAGAAAGAGAAGAGATGATGATTCTCTGAGTTACCCGAGACCTTGCCTGGCCACTCTGCTGCTGAAAATTATTTCCTTGCCCTAGCTCAGTGGTCGGCAAACTCATTAGTCAACAGAGCCAAATATCAACAGTACAATGATTGAAATTTCTTTTGAGAGCCATATTTTTTAAACTTAAACTATATAGGTAGGTACATTGTTATTAACTTAATTAGGGTACTCCTAAGGCTTAGGAAGAGCCACACTCAAGGGGCCAAAGAGCCGCATGTGGCTCGCAAGCCGCAGTTTGCCGACCACTGCCCTCGCTGGTTTGGCTCAGTGGATAGAGCATCTGCCTGTGGACTGAAGGGTCCCAGGTTCGATTCCGGCCAGGGGCACATGCCCAGGTTGCAGGCTCGATCCCCAGTGTGGGGCGTGCAGGAGGCAGCCGATCAATGGTTCTCTCTCATCATTGATGTTTCTGTCTCTCTCTCCCTCTCCCTTCCTCTCTGAAATCAATAAAAAAATATATTAAAAAAGAAAAGAAAATGATTTCCTTGTGGCATTTATGCCCACAGACCTGTGCCCACCCACAGGGCCTGCTGGGCAGCCCACTCTTAGAGCAGGCACAGCGGAGGCTGGATTGTGGCTCCCGAAAATAGGTGCAGGAGGCTGCGCTCCTCTCCCCAGTCTCGGTGGTCCTGGGAAGCAGGAAAAGGCCTCAGTTGAGGTTCTGATGCCTGTAGAAGTCCACAGGACTTCTAGGCCTGCGAGGCTCATGGTATTCAACCGCCTGGGCTCTAAAACATTAAGCCCCAGCTCCACCGGTGACTTGCTGGATGACATTGAGCAAATGGCTTAATCTCTCTGTGCCTCAGTTTCCGCATCTGTAAAATGGGCATCATACTGGTACCTACCCCATGGGATTTTGTCAGGGCTAAGGAACTTGGTACAAGTGTCCCCGTTGGCAACTGTTGCGAGCTGGATACATGATAGAGATTTTGTTACTTCAAATGCCTGGGACTAGAAGAGATCTTTGAAGTCCCTTTGAGTGGTGACAGTCACTGATTCTCTGATTCTGGTGCGGTTTGGGCGGGGGTGGGGGAAACCCAGAAGGTGTGAATTGTTGAGTGGGAGAAGTGGAGGCGGGTGGCTGAGGAAGGAGGGCGAAGGGCTCCTGTGGCGAGCAGCCTCTCGCGTCGGCTCTGCCCATCCTGCCCAGTGGGAAATTCCCTCGGAGAGAACAAGTCAGTGATTGACACGGACAGTTTGGGCCATTTCAGGAGTGGGTCCAGGTTTGGGGACCCGGAGCCTTTCCCTGGCTCTCCGGCCTCTGCCAGGGCCAAGGAGCCAGATGGAAACTTCTGCTTGTTTCCTTGCCTTTCATTCCTTGACTCTGTCTTAATTCCAGGAAGATAGATACCTTTCCAGGAAAGACATGCACACACCGGCAGCATAGAGCTCTCGTGCTTAGACTGAAGGTGTGAAGCAGGAGCAGGAAGGGAAGGAAACCGAGCCATCGGTGTCTCTTGCTGTGATTAAGGCCCAGGTCCACACCCTCCCAGACGCAGCGCCCCCTTCAATAATGGGTAACGCCCTTTACCATCTCACAGTGAAGTGTAGATAATGTCGCCCACCTACCTACGCAGTTCCAAAGCCTATAGAATCCCGCAGCCCTAATAAAAAATGGGGAAAGTGATTTATAATAAAATATCTATTTGAATATGTAAATGTTGGGCGAGACCACAGCGTCTGATGGATGGGTGCTTCCGCCTCTGGTAGGTGGCCTGTGACTGGCGGCGAGGTGTACATGACTCAAAGTCTGAACCCCCTCTGCCGTCACTGACATGGTTTTCTGAACTTGTGAACAATTCTTGGTAAAGTTCTGAACACATTTTTTTTTAAGACTGTCTTTCCTCCTGGGAAAGTCAGTAGACGTTAAACGTGTACAAAAAAACTTACCTTGTTTTATGCAAAATTCAGTTCAGTTCATGGCTCAGGTCATCTTTATCAGCAAGTTTTTCATGCACAGAAAGTATGACTATTTCACAGCCCTGTGCAGTGCTGGACATCTCCCCCCTCCCCCCAAAGCAATCCCACCTCTTGAGAATCACACACCACAACCCCAAAAAGCCCTCTAGGAGGCGGCCATGGGCCTAGGTCAGTGGTCGGCAAACTGTGGCTCGGCAAACCTTGGCTCATGAGCCACATGTGGCTCTATGGCCCCTTCAGTGTGGCTCTTCCACGAAATACTAGCTCTTCCACAAAATACCGACTTCTGCACATGGGCCATGAAGTTTCAGTCGCACTGTATGTGTGCACCCGCACATGGTATTTTGTGGAAGAGCCACACTGAAGGAGCCAAAGAGCCACATGTGGCTCGCGAGCCGCAGTTTGCCAACCACGGGAAGTGAAAAGAGCTTTAGTTCCCAAACTGTCGTTAACTGGTTAAAAAGACCCGGCCGTGGTGTGTGGAGAGAGATTTGGGTGAAAGGTGTGAGCTGCAGGCATAGGGGGACCACTGGTGGGGAGGAGATAGATGGCTTCTTGGCCTCTGAGAAACCCAGAGGTTCCCGAGACGGGTCCCCTTCCGCTACCCATGAGCCCTGTGGTAGGGACATCTCCCACAGGGACCCTGGCTGAGAGGGACGGGGACGGGGACTTGCCCAAGGTCACACTGCCAGACCCAGCAGTGTGTGCTGATTGGTTCAGGGCCACAGGTGCTTCTGGGATGTCTGGGGCCACTCCGAGCCCCTAGGCACGGCTATTTCCAGACGAGGACTGCTCCCCTTCCAATCGCCAGCCCTTGGAGTGCCTCGATTTACAATTCCTAGACTCCTGGCTGGTTGCAAGTTTGCCCGGGGTTCCATCACAACGTTGTCCACTTCCTTGGTTTTCTCAGCTTCCTCCTCCAAGAGGAGAAGAGAGATGATGGGTGGGTTTGCTGCTAGGCACAGAGAGGGGTGAGGGCCACTCAGGGAGTCAGCTTTTCCTCACCCCCTGGTTCAAGGGGTCCCTGTCTCTTGTTACCTGCTACCTGCTCCGCCCTCCCACTCCTGCTCCCAGGTCCCAGCCTCTCCCTTTCTCCCTGCCCCCTCCCGCCTCTCTGGGAGTGCCTGGGAGGGTTAGTGCCAGGCCTGGAAACTGAGAGGAAGCTGTCCAGGAGGGCTGGTGACCTCAGGTGTCCTGTGGTTTGCTGCCTGATGGGGAGAGGGGCTTCTCACAGCAGGCCCTTAGTGTCTGTGTAGAGGGGCTGGCTCCATCATATTCTAACCGTCCTGGGCTCTGCCTGGAGACTGTGTGACCTGGTCTCCTCATTGCCTTTCTGCCTCAGTTTTCTCATCTATAAAATGGGAGCAGTAATCTCTACCCTTAATTCCTTTAACAAACATTTATTGAGCACCTCCTACATGCCAGATGCTGTCCTAGGGGCTTGGGAAACAGCCATGAAAAGCACAAAAATTCTGGTCTCCAGGGAGCTTACAGTCTAATACTGGGAGACGAGATAACTAAGTAGATGAATTGTGAGAAGTAATAAGCATTTGGGGGAAATTCAGTCAGGGAGCAAGGGAAGGTTTATAATGCTCCTGGTTGAGCTTCTTCGTCTTTTTTTACCCTGTGGACCCCTTTGACAGTCTCAGGCTAATGTTTTTCAAGGAACAAAATAAAATATAAAAGATGACATTGGGAACCAATTACGTTAAAACATAGTTAGCGAGCTGTCTTTTAAAATTGTGATAGATGTGCCCTCTTTGTTAGCATATTAAGTAATAAGATCTAGCAATGACGACCATGATTTTGAAGTTGTGACGAGTGTAGGAGCTATTTAGAGGAATCTGCAGCGTCTGTAATGTGATATGTAAATACCTGTGACGTCTGTGTGACAAGGTCACGGGGACTTCTGTGATGCTTTGTGGCTTGTTGCCTATGTTGAGCCTCGAGAGAGATGCTAAATTTCATTTCGAGGTTAGGGACAATACAGTGGCCTGTCTTTTTCTTTCCTCTCCCAGTTCTCGGGCACACTCAGTTCTAGAGGAGGCTGCACAAGTCAAGTTAAAGACTCCTGCTTTAGAGAAAATGAGCAGGGCAGGCCTCACTGAGCATGTGACTTCTCAGTGGAGACCTGAGGGAGGTGAGGTGATAAAAGGGGGGTTTTCAGGGGCTTGGGCCCCACCTGCCTGGCAGCCCCCTGGCCGCTGTCCACCTAAAATCCTCATCACTTGGTGCCCTGTGCACCAAGGAAGTGATAGACAGAGAGGCCCAGGGGCCCCCAGAGAGTGCCTGGCTGGTTGGGGCAGGGGTGCCCAGGAGGGAAATGACTTCAGAGTGAGGGAGAGCAGTAGGGGGGTCCCCTGGAAAGAGTGGGCAGGGAGCCTGAGCCCACCTGCCTGCCATTTCCCTAGCCCTCCTGCACGTCCTGTTTTCAGGAATCACGGAAAGTGCCCTTGTGGTCTGAGAGTGAGGGGCCGTGTGTGTCCCTCTGACCCGGGACTCCAGGGGCAGGGACCACTGGGGCATTTGCATCGCTGCCTTTAGCCGGCTGGCTCAGGAACATTCTCCCAGAGGGGCCCGTGCTTTCCAGGTCCAGTCACTTGTACTTGAGCCCCATCCTCCCAGCCCTGATGTCTGAGAGCCCGTGGGCCCCTGGGTGTGGCCCCAGCAGCCTGGCAGGTGACCTTGGTCTGGAGTCTCCTGTATCGGCCTAGAAGCACTCAGAAGCACTGAGACAGGGCCATGCAAAGAGGACTGTAGGCTGTCAGTCTCTCCGAGTTTTCATCCCCCACCTGTGAGGTGGGCTATCAAACCCACCCGCCCGCCAGCCTTGGAGAGCCGTTGGGGGCACAGGGACAGCAGAGGGGTCCGTTCAGGCAGCCCTGGGGGACACAGGTACCCCGGGCCAATGACCCTGCCCCCGGGGCATCTCCAAGCCTGTAACTGGGATCCAGAGATAGGGGTGCTCAGACAGAGGCGAAGCTCCCCCACATCCTCCCAGTCTCATGTGTGTGGAGGTTTTGATGGTTAACGGAGAGCAGGCAGGCAGGGGGTGCTCGCATTCCAGGGAGGTGCTGGGAAAACGGGGGTTGCCCTTTGAGGAAAAATCCTTCCCTTATACCTTATGGAGCAGTCATCCCCCGAAGAATCAAAGAATTAGATGTAGGAAGTAAAGAGAACACAGTTCATCAGAGGCAAGCCTTTATCGGTCCCGTTACCCAGGGCAACCTGCCTAAACATAAAACGCATAGGAGCCATCACAGACCAGAGAAAGAAATGAAAACGCAGACCAGCTCAGAACCAGAGAGGGAAACGGACAAGCCAGCGAACAGGGCAGCTGATCACCACAGATAGGACAGGGGGGTGTTAACGAGCTCATTACGGAGGGATGGCTTTTTGTTTGTTACGTCCTCACCCGGGGATATTTTTCCGTTGATTTTTGGAGAGAGTGGAAGAGAGAGGGAGAGACAGAGAGAAACATCTGTGTGAGAGAAACTCATCAAGTGGTTGCCTCCTGCACGAGCCCCAACCAGGGCCGGGGCCCGCAAACAAGGTGCGTGCCCTTGGCCGGAATCGAACCCGGGACCCTTCAGTCCCCAAGACAACCGCTCTATCCACTGAGCCAAACCGGCTAGGACTACAGACTGATGTTTTAAAGGCACTAAAACCTCAATACGAAATCATAAAAGAACACAAAGCCATCATTTGTGTTGGGTTAGGACGGATAATAAACATATAAAAAGCTTCATTCTCGCTAGTATTAGAAAAAAGACTTGTTCAGTCAGGAGCATTTAAAAGATCTTCCACCTCAATAGACGGTGCCGATGGCGCCGGGGTGACTCGCGGCCTCACACCCGTCACAGCGGCTCTCGGGAGAGCCGTCCCATCTCTGGAGTGACCGCGGCCCCTACGTACGTCCCAGCCCCCTGCTCCGATGGCCTCACGCACCGCTTATCGGAATCTATGCTGAGGAAGTCAGCAGAGATGCAGACAAAGACTCTTATAAGCAGAAGGTCATTTTCGTTTTATTTCAAATGGTAAAAAAAATAAATTATTTTAAAAGTTTTTTCCCCCTCTCAGGAATTTTGAATGGAGACTTTGGAGCCAAATGCCTATTTAAAAATAGAACAGAGCCCTGGAAATAACAGTTGTGTCTCCAAATGAAATGTCTGCAGCTCCCAAATCAGCCCTTGTCCAGCCCCAGCCGCGCACACCGTAAGAAATCGGCAGCAGGGTAATGCCGAGGAGTGAGGAGATGAATGAATAAAAGATGGGGCTCCTATGAGTTGAAATATTTTGCAGCCATTAAAAATGAAGTTTCCGAAGAATTTGTAATGACACGGGAAAGTGCTGATGATGTGCTGTTAGATGGAAAACACAGCAGGGGACAAAATAGATGTATATGTACTGGAATCACTGCAACTTTTTAAATATGCTAACCCACACAAAGGGACCGGAGGAGAAGACACCCAACCTGTGACAGTGTTTATCTCTGGCTAGTGGGCTTATGGGCATTTTCTCCTTTCTATATCTTTTATGTTCTCATAATTCTCTATAAAAATCATTAATTACTTTCGGGGGGAAATATACACACACACACACACACACACATTCATACATACATGCACACACACACATTCATACATACATACACACACACATTCATACATACACACACACATTCATACATACACACACACACATTCATACATACACACACACATTCATACATACGTACACACACATTCATACATACACACACACATTCATACATACATACACACACACATTCATACATACACACACACACATTCATACATACGTACACACACACATTCATACATACACACACACATTCATACATACGTACACACACATTCATACATACACACACACATTCATACATACACACACACACACATATAATCTCTCCATCCTGCTCCCCACCCCCAAATCACAGGGGTCTCTGCATAGAAGGAACACAAACAGGATAAGAAACAGAGGGATAAGCCAGGCAGCCTGAGCAGAGCAGGGAGGTGGAGGAAAAATAAAGTTGGTGCCAGACCTCCTGGAGCCTTGAATGCCAACCCCAGCAGTGAACTTCACCCAGAGCCCCGACTTCTGCCCAGGTTCAAAGGAGAGTGACCTGCCCCTTCTGGAAGGTTAGGGGGCTTCTTGGGGAGACCAGCGTGTTGTGAGTGGCTCCAGGTACCAACCTCCTGCCTTTTCCCCACTCCCCCCAGGGAAGAGTTTCACACTGACCATCACCGTGTTCACCAACCCCACCCAAGTGGCCACCTACCACCGAGCCATCAAGGTGACTGTGGATGGACCCCGGGAGCCCAGACGTAAGTGTCCGAGCCACTGAGTCCCCTGGGTGGGGGAAGGAGGGTCCAAAGGGAGAAGGGCAGCAGCCGAGGTCAGACAGATGGCACTGGGTTCTGGGAGCGCTCCAGGGGGTGGGGATGTGGTCTCTGCTCTGCACCCCCAAACCCTCTGTGCTTGGCCTGGACTTCGGGAGGCCAGTGAGGAGGCTGGGACAGGGAGATAACAGGATCAGCGGACCCTCTCCCATGGGGTGACCGCCGTTGGGAGCCTCTGGGGAGTATGGACTTGCATGGGGCTGGAGGCCGGGCCGGTGTGCTCTGCTCCACCCACCTTCCTCCGCCAGTGGCTGAAGGAGGCCGGGTCCCCTCCTTGGAAACTCTTTCTTTGAATCTGAGTCTGTGACTTACTCAGGTCCCCCAGAGGCCGGGCATGCTGACCCCTGGGCCCAGTGTCAAGGTCAGGAATGCAAATTTGATTCTGCAGATATTTAACGAGCACCTGCTGTGTGTAGGGGGCCCTTGTCCATGCATTTTAGCATCAAAGAGAGTTTGTGTTTCATTGCTTCTGCTGAAGGGCCTGGGGTTTGCAGATTCAGATTAGGGAACTGGAGGGGCAGCGGCCACGGAGTGGGCCAGAGGCCCGTGTTCACTGGGTGAAGGAGTGAATGAGTGAGTGAGTGGATGAATGAACGAATGAAGCAGAGAACCAGCTGGCCATCTCTGGACTGGCTGCTCCTGAGCTCTGAGCAGAGCTCTTGTCTGGACTGCCCCTCACTCGCACACGCTCGCTGGTGCATTGAGAGCTACCCTGTCCTTGTCTTTCTTTGTAATTGTGGCCCCTTGCAGTTTAGACAACCCTCTCGCATTTATTGTCTCATGTGAGATCCTCGTGCTACCAGAGCCAAGGGTCACCCAGTCCCAGTGAGGAGAGAATTCAGGCCTGGGGACATGGAGGTCCTGGCTGGGGCCTCACACTGTCTTAGCTTCCGGGAGGCGGGGAGGCGGGGAGGCGTCCAGGATCCTAGAGACAGCCTTTGATCCCAGCTCAGGAGGGAGTAATCCTGGCAGGAGGACAAGCTTCTGGTCTCCCCGTGCCCAAGGCTCACAACGGGAGTGTGACTACCAGGGCGTGGTCAGGGAGGGCGCCCAGGCCTGGCCCCGCGCCTCCGTTCCTGGGAATTGGGCATGGCCCATCCGGGGAAGGCTCAGAGCTGGCCCTGGAAGAGTTCTCTCCCGCCTCTCAGGACTCCCTCCTGCGGCCTCCCCTGAGCTGTCAGACGTGGTCATCAGGCCCACAGGCAGGCAGCTCCCAGCAGGCACTGGGTCTGGTCAGAGTCCTGCTAGGATTGGACATGGGTGTGTCCGTGCCCTGGCCTTGGGCTTCATAGCTCCAGCAAGTCATGTCTCCTTTTTGGCATCAGTTTTGTCAGCGGTGAGCCGGGTCAGTGACTCCCCAGCATCTCCAGGTGATAAAGGCGGGCAAGCCCTGTGTGTCACAGGCCTTTGTGCAGACAGCAGAGTCTAAGCCAGTTTCCCTGGCTAGGGGACCTTGGGCAAGTTGCAGACCTCTCTGGGCATCCGCTGCCTCCTCCGGGAAGCGGGAGAATACCCCCAACCCTGCAGGCCTGGAGGTCCGTGCCCACAGGCAGCAGCAGAGGGAGGCTCCTTGTGAGTCACTGGATTCTGTTCTGTTATCTCTGGCTCTGGGCCGTCTCCCTGGGCCCCCATCACCACCACCATTAGGGTGGCTGCTGGAACCCCAGGCCATGGTAATAGAGGTCTAAGTTTCGGTCGAAGGAGGTGATATTCTACTCTGAGTCTCCAGGGGCAGAATCAGGATGGACGGGAGCCACAGTTGGGCTCAGTGTGACTGATGCGGCACAAAGCAGTTGAGCACCCAGTGTGGCGAGGCATGTTAGCCAGGGCGTGGAGCCTGGTGGGAAGGTTCCCAGGGGCCGGGCAGCACCTGGAATCCCTCAGAGCCCTCCATGTTCAGCCCGCCCAGCCCAGAGCTGCCCACCGGCCCCCACTGAGGCCCCTGGATGAGGGTGAAGACTTGGCCTCCCCCTCCCTGCTCGTCTCTCCTGGGGTCCCCCACACCTGAGACAGCCCCTTCTTGGAGTGAGCTGGTGGGGGAGTGGGTGGCACAGGAAGAGGCAGAGAGAAGGGAAAGCCAGGCCTGGAGATAAGCTGGAGTCAGAGGCCAGGCTTGCTGCGTGACCTGAGGCAGATGGCGCCCCTCTCTGGGCCGTGGCACAGGCCAGATCAGTGGTTTTAAAGTGACTTGTTCAAATAAAACCTTAGCAAAAGCTCATTTATAGGAAAGAGCAGCCATGGGCATGGGGGCAGGCAGGCCATTCTCCAGGTCTTCCATCCCGAGGACCTGCTGCCCTCCTCCCCTGCCCCTGCCCCTGGCCCAGCCCTCAGGTCAGGTCTCCCCAGCACCCTGGGTTCCAGTTGCAGCTTGGCCTTCTGCCTGTGACCTTCTGGGCCTCAGTTTCCCCACGGCTGGTCATCCAGCCCTCCCCCCCCCCCCCCCGAGTGCCAGGCCCTGGACAAAGCCTCGGTTAACGGAGCCTTAATGGCCCCAGGAAGAGACAGGCCAGGAGGCAAAGCCACTTGCTCAAGGTGCACCCAGGGCTCCAGCCCGGGGCTCAGGCCAGCAAGTCACTTAGAAGGGCCTTCCCACCTTCATGTGCGCATCTATAAAATGGGGGCGATATTAGCATCTCCTCTGGGGAGTTCTTGTGGGCATTAATCCAGCTTACAGCTGCCCTCCTGCAGGAAGTGTTCAGGAGCCCTCATGGTTTATGTCGGGATTTTCTTTCTGGGCCTTTCTCCTGCTTTGTGCCCCCCCCCCCCCCCCCCCCGTGGTGGAGTGGGACGGGAGTAGGAGCTGGTCCAGGGAGCCAAGGAGTGGAGCCTGCAGATCTCTGAGGCCGCTGTGGGTTCTGTGGCCAGGTCGTTCCCCTCCAGTGCCCTGCAGAGCGTGCCCCAGCTGCAGCCAGGTGGCCGGCTGGGCTGGAAGGCTGGCTTGGTGGCTTCCTGCCTGTGTGGCCTTGGTTTCTGAGGTTCTCGATACTGGTGTCCCTCACAGTCGCTGGGGGCTTGTTACAAGGAAGGTGGCTGAGCAGGATCCAGGATCTGGGCAGGAGGCAGGACGGCGCCTGGCGACTCTCGTGGACCACAGTTTGGGGACTGCGCGCTCCACGTCTTCCAGGCTTAGCAGGTGCTGATACCTGAAAGGGTAGGACCCAGGTTCTTAATCCCGCCCGTGGCTAAGAGAGGGCAGCCCTGGCATCTTGCCTGTGGGCCCTTCCCAAAAATGTACATGGAAGGATTTCAACCAATATTTTCCTAGGCACCTCCCATGAGGAGGCACTGTTCTAGAAGCTAGGACACCTCAGTGAACCCAGCAGATGGGTCTCACACACAGGGGTGGGGAGAGATGGTAAACAGCTCCGTTATCACCATGGCAACAAGGCCCCACCTGATCTGTGCCCATTACTCCTCTGTCTTCCTCTCAGACGCCTTCCTCCTCACTCTCCCCACGCTGGCCTCCTGGCTGGTCTTCGAAGTGGGTCTCCTGCCTCGGGGCTTTGCACTGCTATTCCCTCTACCTGGAACACCCCCCGGGTACCCCCAGATTCATGGCTCACTCCTTCCCTCCCAGAAGTCTTTCCGCAAACTTTGCAGAGAGCCCTTTGCTGATCGCCCTGTTTCAAATCACAGGCGCAGCAAGCCCCCCAAACCCCCTTATACCTCCAGCTTCCATTTGAGCTCGAGCACCTTCTAAGAAGCTGTATAGTCCACTCATTTCTTTTCTTGCTTTCTCGTCTCCCCCACTCGTGCATACGTTCCACAGGGTGAGGTGTTTCCTCTGCTTTGTCAGGCACTTGGTATAGACCCTGGAATACAGAAATGAACACTTCGTAGGTGCTCGATAAACACTTATGGAATAAGTGAAGTAAACGAATGATTAGCTGATTTAATTTCAGGTAACGTGAAGTCCTGTGAAGAAAAGAAAGTCGGGCGTGAGCGGGCAGCGTGTGGGGATGAGACATGGCAGGGTGGGGGACGGGGCGACCTCCTGAAGAGGCGATATTTGAGCAGGGCCCGGAGGAGGTGAGCAGTCACTGTGGCTGCCGGAGGCTCCGGGGGACATGGGCGGGAAGAGCTAAAGCTGCCGGTTTGTCCTCAGCTCCAGGTGTGGGGAGGCGGAGGGATGCCCCAGGTGAGGAGAGCCAACGGCTCCTGGCCCCAGCCCCCAGACCCCCCGATCCCCAGGGGAGTGTGCCAGCAGGAGGGAAGGGGTTAACCTTAGACCTCCCTGGCTCCCTAATCAAGCCCAGGCCGCTGGAAGCCCCAGTTGCAGGCCTGGGAAGGAGCAGCTTGCCTCCCTGCCCGCTGGCCCCCCGCCAGCCACCGACCGGCTTTCATCTGCTCACAGGGGGCCGATTCACGGCAGACCACCCGGGGCCCAGCACCCGCCTGCGATTCCATGCGGTTGTTAAGAGTCGGGTGTAAATCTCCTGACAGGCCGCAGAGCGGGCCTAGGGCCTGGGTGCCCCACCCCTCGGCTGGGCAGACAGTGGCTGCTGTGTCTGGGTTGTGGCTGCACCAGAGCCTGGCCAGGCAGCCGAGTGGCTTCATCCGGGTGCCCACATTGTTCCCCACAGATGACCCTGTTCCTGTGGCCCTGCCCAGCTCCTCTGCTCCCTGCCCTCTGCCTTTGTTGGCCTCCTGGCCCCCTCCATGCCACCGAGACAGGACACTGAGCTGGCCTCTTGCCAGTCACACCCCAATGCCAGGCAACCCCCCTCTCCTTCTCTTGGAGGTCTCGGGAGGCCACGACCTTAGCAGCCAAGTTACATGCAATGTGCTGACCTTTCTAGGTTTGACCTTGACCACGTGCCTCTACTTTCCCATCTGCAAAATGGGGTGACTGTGGCAGTCTCGCATAGCAGCACACAGACTTGGTGACGCTGGAGGGCCTGTCGGGTTTGAGCCCAGCTTCTGGAGGCCGACAGGCAGCCTGAGCCAGTCCTGGGTGCCGAGTGCTCCCTGTCCTCCCCACAGAGTGCTCTACTTTTCAGTCCTGGGCTCTGTCCTCAGCTCCTCCTCACTCTCAGGAGATGGCCATTTTATAGATGTGGAAACTGAGTCCCAGGACTGGAGCCGGCCTGTCAGCTCCTGAGAAAGTCCACTGATACTGTCATCTTCTCCCCAGGCCCAACCTCCCGGGCCTGCGGGAACCCCTCTGGCCTGAGCCTGGGCTGCGCCCTAACAACGTGTCTGGAGCCCCTGGTTTCACAGCCCAGGCTCCTTTCCTGCAGGATGGGCTCAGGAAGAGAAGGTGGGAGGTGTGTCCATGGGCCCTGAAGCGTCACTGGCCTTCTCCAGGCTGTTTCTCACCTTGAATAGGGGCAGTGGTAGACCTCCGGGTGGGACGATGCAGTGTCACCTGCTCAGACACGGGCATGGAGGAAGCACACTGCTCTTCCCGTCCACCGCTGGCCACTGCTCCCGGCCTGCAGAGGGGCTGGGGCTCCTGCCGGGAGGAGGCCTTCCTGGAGGAGCAGCTCCTGGGCTGAGCCCCAAAGGACTCCTGGCCCCAACGCATTCCTGGCCGGGCCTGTCCTGAGCTGTGGAGGCAGAGAAAACTCGAGAAACCCCTGCACGGTGGCAGCAGCAGGAGGTGGTGGTAGGTGGGCCCTGGAGCAAGCAACCCTGCCTTCTCCATTCTGGGGTCCCAGTCTGGCCAGCGGCTGATCCCTGCAATCTTAAGTCAGAGACTTCCCGAGCCAGAGGGGCTCCATGAGCAGCCTGTGCAGGGGGAGACAGAGGCACCGCGAGAGAGCCTCACCCGCTCCCACTGTGGGCAGCCACATGAAAGAGGTCTGTTCCGCAGCCCCATCTCCTTCCCTGGGGCACAGGACGTTCCTTCTGCTCCCAACATGAAGGCCCGGCCCCGCGGCGCTGAGACTCTCCGGCACCCTGGCCATGCGGAGCCGCGGCTTCCCTCGGCCCCTCCCTGCAGCCGTCCACAGCAGCAAGGAAGCCATTCCCAACGTGCTGCTAACATCCCCTCCTCCAGCAAGTCTGCCCGATATGAGGGCAGAACACGCATGGTGGGAACATGCACTCAGAGTACCTGGTTTCTATCCCAGACCAAGCACTGAGCACCGGTCTCGCCGTGAGGTCTCAGTGACCCCATCTGTACAATGGGAGCAGAAAGGAAAGTGTCAAGGGAAAGAGCACTTGGAGTTCTTGGGTTCTGGACGACAGGGCTGGCTCTGCTGTCCTGGCGTTGTGTCCCAGACACAGAGACGCGACTTACCCGGCCTTGGTGTCCTGTTCTAACGTGGGGGCGATCGCCCTGCCTCCCTTGGAACGAGCGGGGGTAGAAGTTCCGGCGCGATGGCGGGGGCCCGTGTGGGTGGGGAGCGTTCACAGAACTTGTTTGGCCAGCGCCACAGCTCGGGAGGGTGTCATGATGGGGACGCTGCGGCTCTGGGTGGGGGAAGGGAGTGTGACTTCAGTGAGGCCACCAGGCTGCAAGCAGCAGGGCCCAGCCTCGAACCCCGGCCTGCTGTGAACCCCGCCCTCCTCCTGCTGGGACACAGCGTAACTGTAAACACCTGGGACACAGTGTGACTCAGAAGCGGGGCTTCATTCGCCCATGAGGATCATAACAAGGCCTGATGTTTTGCACCAGCTTCTGTGTAGCCCCATTGGCTCACGTCAAGCGTGTGGCTGAGACACCCGGATCCTGTGCACCCAACTGCTGTCAGGTCAGCCTGCGGCCTCCAGGTCCGCCCGCCGCTTCCTGCCTTGAGATGGTTCTGAATCCATTCGTCCCCCAGTTGTCCACTTCGAGGCTGCCATCTTCGGCGTCTCTTTCCCCCAGGGCTGAGGCCGGGCCCTTCGGCACTCGCCTGGAAACCACGTTAACCAGTTCTTGGTGTCTGAGTCTACTCTATTAACCAGATAATGAAGTTTTGAACTTGGAGGGCACAAGCTGGCAGCCCTTGGGCAGGACACATCCTACAAAGTGATCAGTTTGGCGCTTTTTTGGTTCAGTATTTGAATTAATTGCCAACATATAAAATATGGGAGATCTCCTATAAAAACAGGTTTACGGTTTCAGAAGCTCTGGCAACACTGAGCCCATATCCCCCTTCCCCCCCTCCCCACACACACCATCAGAGCACCAGCCAGCTGTACTCGATGGTGACTACCCCCCTTACAAGGCACATCCTCTCTGGTCTGCCCCCGTCCCCACCCATCCCATGTGCCTCGGTTACCTGACTTGCCAGGCCCCTAGACATCTGCATTCTGGGCCCTGGCTCCCACTGAGCTCACCCCCAACCCATACTGTCCCGTTGTTACCAAGGGTCCTAGGAGGCAGCAGCGGGGCCCTGCCTGGGGGCCGAGCGGTTTCATTCCAGCTGCCGAGTGTCCCTTGGGCTCCAGGCCTGGGTCCTCGGAGGAGGAGGAAGTGGGTTCCCTGGCTCTTGGCGTCTTGCTGAGCCCAGCGTGGCTCCCAGGACTCCTGCTCCGTTTCTGCGGGCTCCCAGAGGCCCTGTGAGCGTGCGGCAGGGCTGTGTAGAGAGCTCAGGGCCTGGGGTCCCGGAACCCATTGCACCCCCGTTTTGGAAACCAGCAGTGGGGCCCCTTGCTAGCCTCTGACTCTCGCCCCTCATTCTCAACGGTGGTCGGCACTTTCCCCCAAAGATGCCATTTTCCAGGCCTCAGGAAGGACGGTGAGGATTCTGTTTTAACTCCCACCTACTCTCTTCTTCTCTCCCTGTCAGTCTAGAAAGTTCCGCGCATCACTGCAGCCCTAAGCACTCAGGCAGGCCTTGCCCTCTCCCTGGGCTCCTCCCCTCATTCTTTTCCAGGGGATCCGGGGGCTCCGTCCCCCTCCCTCCCTCTGTGACCTCCGTGAGCCACAGTTGCTCTTGCCTGTGGAAGGAGAAAGGGCCCCGGCCTGCCTGCCCCCCTCCCGCGGCGTCGCTGGAGCAGATGGCCAGCCTCCTGGCGGGCTGAGCAGCAGAGCCCGGGAACGCTCAGCCCTCTGCCTGGACAAACCCCCGACACGGTGTGAACAGGGTCGTGCCTGGGAGTATCGCACGTGCGGGGATCATGCAGGAAGTTTGGAAACTACCTGAGTGTCCGTCCACCTGAGAAGATGGGCTGAGTAAACTCAGTGCCCAGTGAATGTGAGCAGCGGCGCGAGGGACACCCACTGGCGTAGGGGCAGTCCTCCTCGGCTCCTTGTGGGAGCTCTGCTGTTGTCTTGGGGCTGGCTTATCCTCCCCATTTCACAGGTCAGAAAACTGAGGCGGAGCTCCAGGGTGCGCTCCTAGAAAGGCAAATTACAGAGTGGCACGGCCAGGCTGAGCCCGTTCAGGAAAGTTCCACAAGAAACTTGCTCTGTGTTGCCAGGCGTGTGAAACGGAGGCTGGAAGGAAAGACCCCACACGGGGACTTCTGGGGAGGGGCTTGGCTCCATGTCTTCCGAGGACCCTGAGGGAGGCTCTGCTGGCTGCACGAGGCAGGGGCATGGCCACCTTGAGCCTGCGGCACCCTCGGGCCTGGGAGCAGAGGCTGGGCTCCTCCTGTGTGGGCCATGGAAGAAGGTGACGGGAAATGCTGGCACTTCCTCCAGGTGCCGTGCCCCAGGCCAGGCGCTCTGGCCCCTGTCCCCACCTTCCCGTCAGAAGCACCCACGGCCTTTGCTCCGTGTCCTGGCGATCATTTCCTTCTGTCTGAGGCCTGACAGGAGAAGGCCCGTGGGTCCCGAGTGACTCAGGGCGGGATGGAGTGACAGTCATCCCAGGGGTGGGGTGGGGCCTGGGGCGCTGGGAGGCAGAAGATGGCAGCTCTCCTGGTTCTCTTGCTGATCCCCACGGGAGCCTGCTGGAGTCCCTTGCCCATGCCTGTGGCCTCAGTTTCCCCTCCTGCCAGACAGTGTGCTGTGGAGGGTGAGGTATGACAATGGGTAGCCCTGCTCAAGAAGGCAGGTAGGCCCTTGTGGCCGCCCCGGGGCAGCACCCAGGGCCGTTTTCTGCAGAAAGTCCACGAAGAACACGAGGAGGAGGTTGCTCGACTGAGGGTCTCGTGCAGAAGCCCGAGCTTAGACCTCGGGGAGAACATCCCGGCGGAGGAGGCATTTCTGTCTCCCCGAGACTCTCGGGGACCAGCTGCTGACGGGCTCCCCTTGCTCTGCAGGGCACCGGCAGAAGCTGGAGGACCAGACCAAGGCGTTCCCCGACCGCTTCGGCGACCTGGACCGGGTGCGCATGCGGGTGACCCCGAGCATGCCCAGCCCCCGCGGCTCGCTCAGCACCACAAGCCACTTCAACAGCCAGGCCCAGACCCCCATCCAAGGTACGGCACGGGCGGGGGGAGGGGGCCAGGACCTGGACGTGGTCCTGGGGCTCCAGGCCAAAAGCCCGTCCGGAGGCCGTTCACTGCCCGTGTGGTGCTCCGGCCCGGGCCTGGCCAGGCCCTGCGTGCATTCGCACAGCCCACATTTATCGACTCCCACCACCTGCCATGCCGGTGCCTGGCCCCAGGATCAGCTCAGAATCTCTGGGGCAGTGGGGTTACGCTCCTAGTGCACCCTTTAAAATTGGGGTATGACTTGTCCAAGGAGCCTGTGGCACACGTGTCCCTGCTGGAGACACCTCCCTCCAAGCTCAGCTTTCTCATTGGAGAGTGGGGTGCCTCTGCCCAAGGCTGGGGTGACGTTCAAGCGCTGTTACTGCCCTCAAAGTTTGTGAACGGTAAGGGACATTGCAGCCCTGGAGAGATACACAGCATCTCCTGGGAAGGGTCCCGTGGCCCAGGGACCCCACCAAACAGAAAGGAGGAGACAGGCCTCTGGGCCGAGGCCCCTAAAGGGGTCTCTGTCCCCACTGCCTGGTGGATGCAGCAGGCACCCTCAGAGCTAGATCTCAGGCAGGACTTCCGAGCAGACAGTGCCTGGCACGTAGTAGGTGCTCAGTAAACGCCTGGATGGTGCACAGTCACTCTTCTCCAGGCCCTGTCGGCGGTGGGCTGGGCACGGGAGGCCGTGTGCACAGCGGCACGCAGCAGCGGTACTGAACGAAGGCAGGAGGGCTGGCCGTTGCCGTGCACCGAGGCTGTCGTTCTTTCTCGGTCCTCCGGGGCCTGGTTAGAACCCACTTGGCAGATCGGTGATGGTGGCAGACTTGACGTAGCCCCGTAGCATAAAGAGAAGGCCCTCCCGTCTGGCCTGAGAAGCTGGGCCTTGGTGAGGTGGGGAGGGGCCCCAGGTCCAGCCGCTCTGAGCCTCTGGGCTAGCGAGTTTGAGATACTCGGCAGCTCTGGGGCCGGGAAGGAAGGGTGGGGTGTGGCGCTGCAGGGCGGAGGCCTGACCTCAAGAGGCAGTGGGAGGTGCTCTGCACTCGGGCTCATGCCCACCCCTGCCCGGAAGCTGGCTGTGCTCCTGTCTCCCTCAGCGTCTGTCGGGGTGCAGTAGCCTAACACTCCAGGCCTTACCCTGCCAGGGGCAGAGCTGGGGCCCAGTGGGGTGTTAGGGCCCAGCCAGGGGGCCCCGGAATCCAGCAGGTGGGGGTGAATAGAGCCTTCCTGTCCAGCAGCTCCCACAGCTATGTGGACATGGCTGGGGAATCAGTGCCTTAGGCTCCCCACCCTCTGTCCAGCCCCAAAGGGCCGGGTCTAGCCAGGCAGCAGGTAGAGCTCCTGCCTCCACACTGAGGCTGGGAGGAGAGGTGGGGCCTGTGTGGATGCAGCTGACCCAGTCCTTCCCCTTCTGCTGCAGGGCTCCCCCGCCCCTCCCTGACCACCCACAGCACTGGGCTCAGGCCGCCGACGTGGCCCTTCAACCCAGCCAGGCCGCCCCCTCCCAGGCCTGGCCCCTTTGGCGTGAGCGGAAGGGCTCTTGACAACCAGGACAGGGAAGGAGTGTGAACTTTGCAATCAGATGGGCCGGGCTTGGGACTCTGCCTCTGCCAGGCACTGGCTGTGTGTTCCTAGGCTAGTCACTTCACCTCTCTGAGCTCAGTTTTCTCACCTGCAAAATGGGAAGAAGGAGGTACCTGCCTCAGAGGCGTGTTGGCAGGGCTGGGTTTCGGGCCCTCTCACCGGCCCTCCCCTTCTGGTGGGGCCAGCCTCTGCCTTCACACTCCATCCTGGGGATCCCCTCAGGACACCCCACCACCACTTTTCTTGGTGCCGTTAATAGCTTTGACCCCCGGCTTTGGTCACTGGCAAGCAGTGCCGAGGCCCCATCCCCTCCATACCCCAGCCCCAGGCCCCCCCAGCTGTGGCCGCCCACAATGGGGGCTTCTAACAGCTCAAAGGGCTCATTCAGCCACCACACAGCAGCTGGGGCAATTTGGAGAAGAAAATAAACATTTCCTTCCAGTGTTGGGATTGGCTGCTCGACAGCCAGCCAGCTCCGGTTTCCTGGGGCTACTGGGCTGGGAGGGGCTGGGGGGGCAGGAGCCTCAGGGGTCCCAAGGGCAGACACTTCCCCACCACCCTGGGGGGGCGTGGGCAGGAGGGGACAGGAGCCGTCTGGGCAGGCCCTGCTCAGAGCCCGGAGCCCATGTGAACGCCAAGGGCCACACACACCAGACCAGGTCCACCTTGCCCAGCCTGTTTCCTGGCCGCAGCCCTGCTGTCTCACCCTGGGGTTCCTGTTTGGGGTCTTTCACTTTGAGAGTGGGGTTCCTGTCAGTGGACAGCACTCACTTCCTGGGCTCAGAGCAGAAGGGTCAGCCTCGTGCTTGGCTGTGTTTGGGGTGCCAGGCAATGCCAACGAGACCTCTGGGGTCCTTAGAGTGGGGAGCCAGGCACCTCTGGCCCCTTAGGTTTCAAGGCAGCACTAACCAGCCAAGGAGCCCAGTAGGGAGGGTGCCAGATATTCCAGGAGGACCCCTGCCCCCCAAGCCCCCCACCTTCAGCAGGGAGCACCATTCCATTCTGACCCACAGCGAGGACCAGCGCGAGCCCAGAGCCCAGAGAACCTACAGGTCTCACCTGAGGTCACAGCACCTCAGGCAGATCTGAGAAGCAGGAGAGCTGAGGGCACCTGCAGCTGTCAGTGCTCAGTCACGCCTCAGTCACAGGGGCAGTGCCAACCTGGAGCTGCCCAGGGGCAGAGGCTGGTCTCCCTGAATCCTCTTTGGTGGGGTGGCATAGAGGGGTTGGGGCCAGACAGACTTTTCCTCAAGACCGCTGCTGGGGACTCCCCCCCTCCCCACTGCTGGGGACTCACCTCCCCACTGCTGGGGGCTCCCCCACCCCCTCCCCACTACTGGGGGCTCACCCACCCCCTCCCACTGCTGGGGGCTCTCCCACCTCCCCTCCCCACTGCTGGGGGCTCGCCTGCCTCCCCACTGCGGGGGGCTCACCCACCCCCCTCCCCACTGCTGGGGACTCACCCACCCCCCTCCCCACTCCTGGGGACTCACCCACCCCCCTCCCCACTGCTGGGGACTCACCCACCCCCCACTGCTGGGGGCTCACCCACCCCCCACTGCTGGGGGCTCACCCACTCCCCACTGCTGCCAGAGTCACCCCTTGGCCAGGATGTCCGGAAGGCTCAGGGTCGGGCTCCCTCTGCAGAGCCCTGAATGGGTGTCCCGGAAGCCCAGCACAAGACTGTCACAGCCGCTGCAGCGGCGCCAGCCCTCATCAGGCCTCCCCTCTGCGCCCAGTCTGAGCACTGTGCATGCATTAACTAATTTAATTCCTAGGGTCTGTCACTGTCTCCATTTTTTATGTGGGAAGGTTGACACACAGAGAGGTTAAGTGACTTGCCCAAGGACACACAGCAAGTAAGTGTCAGAAGCCGATTAGATACCCAGCTGCAGAGGCCACACAGTTAGCCTTTGTGCTGTGCTGTGCTGCCTCAGAGACGGGACAGCTGCCTCTCAGACCCATATTGGGGCTCAGGACTGGAACCCTGGGGTTTTGTGCCAGGTCCGGTGCTCTGTGTGGCCCTTAGGCTAGTGCCTCACCTTCTCTGGGTCTCGGTTTTCCTGCCAAGGGAGTTAGCCTCCATCCCAGAGCCCCTTGGGATGCTGAGGTTTGGGGGTCTTGAATGCAAATGTAGGGGGCAGAGGCTCAGATGCCCTTGTCTTGGAGTCCAGTGCGGGGCCAAACTGGAGGGGCAGGGGCAGGACTGGGCTGGATGCTGGTGCCTCTTTGGCAAGGGCAGGGTCTAGGCCACCAAGGCCCTCTGGCTGCCATCTCACTTTGCTGCCAGGGAGATGCAGGCAACCCTGGAGACACAGGCCCAGGGTGAGGTGGGGGGTTGGGAGGGCACACATCTCCTCTGGGCCTGACCCCCACCACACAGGGATAAGCTCACATAACCTCACCAAGCCACCGGGCAGGAGAGGTGCGGGCAGCACAGCAGCCCAGCAAAGCAGAAAGCAGAGGTCCCCTGAGGAGTTTGAGTCCTTTCTGCAACATCCAGGAAATTAATCTTCCTCTGCGCCTCAGTCTCCCTATCTGAAGAAGCAGGCTCCAAATCCCTCTCACAGGGCCATTGCAGACCCTCTCCACACCCACAGTCTTGCCAGCTCTTAACAGGAGAGAGGGAGACAGAAGCTGCCAGGTCAGACCGGTACTGTCCCTGGTGGGGGCCCACCTTCACCACCCCCAACAGGCCTCTGCACTGCCAGGCTGTGAAGAGGACTCCAGAAGACAGAGAGGAGCCTCCCCCTTCCCTATCAGCCCAGGAGGCGCCCGTGGCCGCCTTCAGCCCGGGTACCTGCCCACCTGCCCACCTCCTTCCCAGGCAGGACCGTTACCAGGTCAGGAGGGCTCCCCCCGCCCCCCAGCAGCCAAGGCGGTAAGAGCAGAGCCAGAGCTTCTTTTTGAATTAAATTTATTGGGGTAACATTCATTAATAAGATCGATACATTCCAGGCATACAGCTTTGTCATACATCCATATACTCTGGTGTGCTCACCACCTGAAACCCAGTCTCCTTCTGTCAGCCTGTATTTGACCCCCTTAACCAAGGACATTCTTAAAGAATTCCGCCAGGGCCCACCTGCCTGGCTCAGTGGTTGAGCATCAACCTATGAACCAGGAGGTCACGGTTCGATTCCTGGTCGGGGCACATGCCCGGGTTGCAGGCTCCATCCCCAGTGTGGGATGTGCAGGAGGCAGCCGATCCATGGTTCTCTCTCATCATTGATGTTTCTCTCTCTCTCTCTCTCTCTCTCTCTCTCTCTCTCTCTCTCCCTCCCTCCCTCCCTCCCTCCCTCCCTCCCTCTCCCTTCCTCTCTGAAATCAATTAAAAATATCTTTTTAAAAAAAAAAAAAAAAGTAGTGTGCTGGGTGGTGTCCAGCTGCGACTGATGGTCCTCTTTGCTGTCCCCCAGGCACCTCGGACCTGAACCCTTTCTCCGACCCCCGCCAGTTCGACCGCTCCTTCCCGGCGCTACAGACCCTCACGGACAGCCGCTTCCCGGACCCCAGGATGCATTACCCGGGGACCATGTCGGCGGCCTTCCCCTACAGTGCCACGCCCTCGGGCACAAGCATCAGCAGCCTCAGCGTGGCCAGCATGCCCGCCACCAGCCGCTTCCACCCCACCTACCTCCCGCCGCCATACCCTGGGGCCCCGCAGAACCAGAGCGGGCCCTTCCAGACCAACCCGTCCCCTTACCACCTCTACTACGGTGCGTCCTCTGGCTCCTACCAGTTCTCCATGGTGGCCGGCAGCAGCGGCGGGGGCGACCGCTCGCCCACCCGCATGCTGGCCTCCTGCACCAGTAGCGCCGCCTCCGTGACCGCGGGCAACCTCATGAACCCCAGCCTGGGCGGCCAGAGCGACGGCGTGGAGGCCGACGGCAGCCACAGCAACTCGCCCACTGCCTTGAGCACGCCAGGCCGCATGGACGAGGCTGTGTGGAGGCCCTACTGACCTCCCGGGGCAACGTGGACGCTCCCGATGGAGGCAGGGACCCCGGAACCTTCCCGGCCAGGGGCTGGCCCAGCTCTGAGGCTCGGGCAGGAATGAGACCCGGGCCCAGAGCTGGTGGGTGGCTCCGAGAGCATCCAGTCCAGCCGTGTCTTTGTACAGAGGGGTAAGGACCAGCCCCCGACCCCGAGCCCAGATCCTAGTCATCTCATCCCACTGTCCTGTGGGAAAAGCATCCTCCTGCTGTCTCCTGCCCTGGTGACCTGGCTGTGCCCAGTGTTGTCACAGGACCCGGGTCTCCGAGGACAGAGACCATCTCTGCTCCAGAGGGAGGCAGCGTTTGCCCACACAGTCTGGCCTCTTGTCCGCTGGGCCCTGGACAGGCCTCCCCACCCCCACCTTCCTCAAAGATCCTGCACCTCATGGGCCCAGCCCTTCCTCCGCATTTATACAAATTGAGGCAGAACTGGAAGGTCCCCACCCTCAGAGGGGTACCCCTCGTTGTACCCTCGCCCGAGGGTACAGGCTGCATGGACTCCCGTGTCTGAGTTCTCTAGTTCTAGGGAAAGGCCCGTCCAGAGTTCCAAAAAATCACTGGCACAAATGGGATGAGAGCACCCCCTAGCCAGTCCCCCCACAGCTAACAGCTAAGGAGCCCTGTCCCCGTCCAGCTGCCTGTGAGCCCCAGGCCCAATGTAGACAGCCTCTGGCAGCACCTGCAGACAGGTCCTCTGTGCACTTTCCCAGCCCAAGGCACCCACCCACCACTCTCTGGGGGGGGGCCTGGGTCCTTCACCCCACGCCGGTCTCAGAGTTGCAATTTTGGAGAGAGCACAGAGGCCAGAGCAGTTCTAACAGAAAGCACTGGGGTGAGTTCAGAGAGCAACGTCCCTGTCGCACTCAGCCCAGCCAGCCCAGCTGTGCACACCCCACCCCGCCTCCTGGGAAGGCCCAGCCACACCTCCCAGCCTCTGCCACACAGCTCTCCACGTAACCAACCATGGTCCACAGCCGTCTTACAAAGACTAGTTTTTAAAGTGATTTTAGAAGAGCTTCCAACTTTTTCAAACATGGCCTCTTACAGGTGAAGCCATGGTCGCCAACCTCAGCACCTCCTGAGGAGGCCACCGCATTCCTTTGGCAGCACCCCACCAACACCCCCAAAGGCGGGCCCTGGTGGGGACCACGGGAAAGGCCGGTGCAATGCTGGGGCCTCACATCGGTGGCTCTCGGGCGGTTGTCCGAGAGGATGCTCTGGGTGTTGCATCCTGGTAGGGGGGCTGTGAGGGGGCGAGCCGTGGCCAGGTGAAGGCAGGACAGAAGGGGGGAAAGGGCTCCCCAGCCTCCTCTCCCACGCCTTCCAGGAGCTGCCCCTTCAGTTTGCAGGTGGGAAGGCGAGCCTTGCCCCAGGTGCGGCTGCAAGGATTCCCGCTCCTGAGTTCTTTGGTTCTAGAAAGGCCACGAAAACTCAGGAGTCGGCAGCATGTGGTTTTCCACCATTGTTTCAGCCACATCCTCTGTGGATGGGAAGTCTCCCTTACGAAAGGCTCCTTAAGTGTCTGTCATAGCACCAGGCCTGCCTGTCCACCATCCACGCCCCCACCCCCCACCCCACCCCCCCGGCAGGTTAGGAAGTCCTGGTGAGCTCACTCATTGCTCAAACCCCTCCTGCTGGCTCCCCTGTCCTGCCCTCACTGGAAAGAGCAGTCTCCATCTCTTCAGATTCACTGCTGGGGGTGTCCTGCTGACTCCCTCCACCCAGGGGCGCTCCCACCCCTTCTCAGGAAGCAGCTACAAATCCATTGTCTTCGTATCTTCACTCCCGTGCTCTGTGGTTGCTGTCTGGCCCCCGGGTTCCCAGTGCCCAGCACTTTGTAGTCCTACACCCCCTCCCTGACATCCAAGCCCTGGTAAAGGCAGGGACAGGAAATAAATGGGCCCACCCTCCACCCCCTGACTTAGTGACATGACAGCAGCTATGCTGAGTCCTAAGGCCCACAGCGGGCGCAGACAGCCTGGGCGTGTAGACGTGGGTCCTTATGGACGAGGCTGCTTTAAAGTGATGCTCCGCAGACACTGACTTAGGAAGCGCAGGAGACGGAGGTCGGACGCCATCTCGCTGCAGCCTGGTGGTGGGTGTGGATACGTGTGACATATTGTCATGCTGAGGCGTTGGCACCTGCTACCCTCACATCTCCCATCAAACCGCCCAGAGCCGGGGAGGGGTGGAAACTGCTTTGCACTATAATTTGCTTGGTGTGTGTGTTTTTAATGCACAAGTTGCTTGTACAGTAAACTGTCTTCTGTATTATTTAACTGTAAAATGGAATTGTGACTGATTTGTTATAATTCGGAGGCGTGTTGAAGGATCCGATGCCAGGCTCCTAGGGCTGTGTGCAGGGGGTGAGGGAGGATGGAGACCCGCCCCCTCCCCCCCCCCCCCCCCACTGTGGCCAAGGAGGAATGGGGCAGGGCCTCGGCCTGGGCAGGAATAGGACTAAGCCTTACCCTGCTGAGGAGACCCCCAGCGCCTTGGTCCCCCTGCGTCCGCTCCATCGGGAATGGCCACTGAGCCCACCCCGGGCAGCTACAGCCACTGAGGCCTCCTGGTGCGGCTGGGGTGCCAGGGGAATGTCCGGTCTTCAGGTACCACCACCCCTTCTCCCTCTCAAGTGGCCCCAGATTTTTCACGAGGGAATGGAAGAAACCACCCCTCGCAGGGCTGGGGAGAGGGCAGAGAGGTGGAGCCTAAAGCAGGCTGGGTGGGAGCCGCTCAGGGCCCGAGCTGGCTGGAAGAGCAGCGACTTAGCAGCAATCAACTGCCGTGCAAGCAGCTGGGTCAGCTCCCCCATTTTGCAGATGAAGAGACTGAGGTGCAAAGAGAGGGTGTCATCTGGCTTCACATCTCCCTGGGCGAGGACCGCAGCCTGCTGGTGGGGGCTGTGGGCGGGTGTGGGGGGACCTGCCTTGGCAGCCCCCCAACCCCCAACCCTGCCAGCCAGGAGGCCTGGCCCACCCTGCCTGGCTCGTCAGGACTTGTGGAGGGGAATTTTCATAAAACAGACCTTATTTTCAAGTGAAAGTACCCACTTCAAAAGCGAGTCCCAAGATTTAGCCCTGTGCAGTTAGGTCGGTCTGCCTGAAACCCAGCACCCACCAGGAAGTTGCCTTTCCCCAGCTGAACCCCACCCCACCCCCCAGCACCCCTCTGCCCGAGGGACCAGCCATGGCTGCAGAATTCCGCTCTGGGATGTGCTCTGAGTGAGGGGCTGGGCGCGAGGGCTGGTCCCGGAGCCGGAGCCGTCTGCAGGCTGACACTCTGCTTCCTCTGTGAGTTTATCTGAGGGCACATTGTAGGGATGATGGGGATGATGAGGGGACCACAGTTCAAGCCCCTCCCCCCAGCCACGCTTGCCGCAGCTGATGGGAGGGGAGCTGTGTTCTCCAGAGCCCCCGATGCAAAGCTCCATCCCCTTCACCCCACCAGGCGCAGACCAGCCCACCCAGCTCCCTGGGGAAACTGGCCCAGAGAAGGCTGGGACTTACCCCCCCCGCCCCCCCCCCCCCAAGGTCACACAGTTTGAGGGCTCTGGGGGAAGCACTGCAGTAACCACAGCAGCCTGCAGGTGGCAGCAGGTGGAGGAGTGGATTCCCCTCCAGACAAGGGTGAGAAGGGGCTGCCTCCATAGCAGCCAGAATTCAGCTGAGATGTTAGAACTTCCCAGCCCCTGGAAGGGCTGGGGAAAGGTCTTAATGTGGAAGGAGGGTTTTCTCTCCTCCTTTAGCTGTGTGTGTGTGGGGTGGAGGGAGCCCTGTCCCTCTCTGAGCCTCTTTTTTCATTCAGATCTTACATGAGCACCTACTGTGTGCCAGGGATGTAACAGAATTGCCAGCCGGCCCCATGCTCCCTCCAGGTTCTGCTTCAGGGCAGGGGTTTACTCTGCACGAAGGGAAGGGTGACATCCCTGGCCCAGCAGCCCCAGCCTCCCGGAGCCACCAGTGGGAGCTTAGGCATGAAGCAGCCCGGCCAGGTGAGGGGGCCACCTTGTTCCAGTGTCCAGGGGCCCTTGGGCCCAGCTGCATTCCAGAAGCTCTGGGAGTCACTTCGATTTGGGCAGTGTCTGAAGTTTCTACAACCCCCATAACCCCCACAGCCCCCTGAGCCCCCACAGCCCCTCACCCCACACCCCCACAGTCCCATAGCCCCCATAACCCCAACAGCTTCCACAGCCCCCTGAGCCCCCACAGCCCCTCACCCCACACCCCCACAGTCCCATAGCCCCCATAACCCCCACAGCTTCCACAGCCCCCTGACCCCCCACAGCCCCCCCACACACCCCTACAGCCCGTGACTGGCTGGAGACAGACTGGGAGAGGTGGTGCAGGCCTTTGGGGCTCCCAGGGGGGCCTCCACTCCTGAGAAGTGAAATGGCCCCCAGACCGACCTGCCGCTCCCCCCCACCCCTCACTCCCCCCACCCCCGGCCTCAGAGAGCAGCCCTGCACTGCGAGGCTTCTCCCATGGAGACGGCTTCGCCTGGACGCCTGGACGCTGAGAACAGAGGCCCTGGCAGGCCCTGCAGGCCTGAGACGATGGAGGGAGCTGTGGGGCCGAGGAGACGCTGTGGGGCTGTCCCGGTGCAGGCCAGACCCTGGCCTCCTTTGCCCCAGATGCACCCCGTAAACACAGTCACCCGGATCTCCCCAGCAAGGCCCAGGGTGGGGGGCAGCTGTTCGCCCCACAGACACCCAGCCTGGCCATGTGAGCAGGGCCTGCACCTCCATGGCTGGTTCATTTGGGTCATTAATGAAATGAGCTGTCAGACGGACAAGGGTGGGGGAGCCAGAGAGATCGCATGAACTGTTCCTTATGGAAACCCGGAGTGCCCCCAGCCTCCCCCCACGAGGGCGGGGGGCGGGAGGAGGCGAGGGGCCATATCCCCCAACATTCGCACCGCACTGTGTGGCCCAGCGGCTAGCGGAGCCGGCCGGATTCCAGGCTTCCTATTTTTAGCCTTGCAGCTAACGCACTGTTTGTTTTATATATTTATATTCACCCGCAGAGCGAGCCGCCCTGAGCCGGCCGGGCGGGCTCGGAGGAAGCCCTGGGCGGAGGGGAGGGGCCAGCCGAGGGCCAGCTCTCTGGAGCCACCCTCCCTCTGTGCCCTGCCCACTGCTGGGAACATGGGCCTCCGTGGGTGTCCTAATGGGTGGCAGCTGTCTGGGCCACACCACCCCCCTCTGCTCTGTGGGCCTGGTGTCTGCGAGGCCTTGGCCAGAGTTCATTCACTCATTCACCCAACAGAGGCCCAAGCCGCGCCCCACCCGCAGGTGCCAGACAGCAGGAAAAAAGGCGCAGAAGTCACAGCCGTGCCCTTGAGGAGCCCACGGGGCAGACAGACAGGAAAACAATGCTAAGCCGGGGGATAAGGGAGGGGGGGTGGGGGGGAGGGGGAGACAAGGTGGAGAGGTGAGTAGACAGTCACCCCACAGAGAGGCAGCAGGAAGGCCTTCTAAGTAGAGGGAACCTCCTGGCCTGGAGGGAGGGGCGTGGCTGAGCTAGAGGGGACGGTGGGGAAGGTGGGATAATGGCCATGGGATGGGGAGGTGGGCAGGCTCAGCTCGTGGGGGCTGAGGCCACGCTGAGGGACTTGGACTTGGTCCGGGGGCGCCGGGGAGCCCAGCCGAGGAGTGGAGGCACGTTCTGATGGGCACGTGTCCCAGGGGTTGCCGTGCAGCGTGGAGCGTGGGCTGTGCAGAGCTGAGCCCTGGTCACAGGCTGCTGCAATGGTCCGAGCAAAGGAGGGTGAAGTTCGTGCAAAACGACGTGGAGAGGAGCGGAGCACTGCCATCACAGGAAGGGCCCTGTGGCCCCGCCCTCGGGTGCACGGGTCTCTCCGCTTCTCGGAGCTCCTGGCATTTGATGGGACCATTGTGGACACGGTCTTGGTAATATTTTTGCTCCTTCTGACTGTGCAGTGACAACAGCCCTGCCCTCTCCCTGACTCCTTCACCCCACAGGTTTGTAGTGAAGCCTCATGTCCTGCTCATGACAACCCCTGAACACACCTGAGGCCACAGGCAGCCTCTGTGACTAAAAGGTCCAGGGCTCAGAGTCTGGTCCAGCCTCCCAACTCTCCTCCGTGACCCGAAGATGTAATGACTGTAAGACTCTGAGTCTGAGGTGCCCAAGTGTACATATTAGACTTTAAAACAACACTAGTACATTATTCTGGGGAAAAAGTAGATAATACAGATTGCCAACAATCGCACAAGAAGAATTACCCATAATCCCACCCCTCTAAAAATAACAATTGTTAATATTTTTACGGATGTTTTATTTCCCATCCAGACCTCTATTTTCTATACATATATAAATGTTTTCATAGGAATAAACATGTTTTTCTAGCTAGGTACACATTGCATATACTATATCTCCATTAATATAAGTTAAAAATAGAAATAAAGGTAATCTAGAATGAAATCACTAGAAAGATGGGTTAGAGTTGTTTTGTCCTTTACAGTATATTTCCTGGTATTTTCCAAATTGTCTAAAATGAGCACATTTGTTAGAGGCATAGTATATTGAACTACTAGATCTTGATAAATATCTAAGCAGAGTTCAAGAGCATGCTTGGCCAACTCATTAGCTGATATGTCACCTCTTACAGGTAGCCTTGCCGGATAACCCATGTTGAAAAATCTTACCATTTTAAACTCAGCCCATTAAGGGCTACCATTTTACAGATGAGAAAACTGAGGAGTGAGAACAGAATCCCCTCTCAATCCTAACAAGGGCAGAGTAATACCTGAAAGAGTTGAGTTTAAGTTTCTCATCAGCTGAAGGTATTAGAGGCTTAAAGTAAAAATTAAGTTAACTTTAGGAAAAAGGCAATATTTCTTACACACCTGAGTTTGTTTCCCATGACTTATATCCTATATAATAAAAGGCAAATATGCAAATTGTCCCTTCGACTGGGAGTTCCACCGAGAGTTTGACCAGGGGGCGGGGCTGGCTGGCCAACCACCCTCGGCCCCTCCCCCCGGCTGGCCCTGCCCCCGGTTGGCCCTCCCACCCTGATTGGGGTGGGCCGGTAGACCCCACCCGCGCACGAATTCGTGCACTGGGCCTCTAGCTTGCTATAAAGACAAATCATCAAGGGGAAAAGACAGAAAGGAGAGAGAAATGAGGAAATGTTGTTTTATAAGCAGAAGCAGAAAAGACACAAGTCTTTACGGCTCTTTCTCTGCTTCTGAGAGCGATATGTTTGCCTTTCTGAGTTGTGATTCTAAGATTTCACACATTTTGAAGTCAAAATACAGAA